GCACTTGGATATTGATGCCCAAGCACTTGTATGGGTTTTCTTTGACACTGTCTTTCATCACCATAGATTACTTCATGTCATCATTTCAGATCAAGATCTACACTTTAGAAGAAGTTTTTAGCAAGCCTTATTGAAGCTATTGGACTCATAACTTGTCATATCTACAATCTTCTATCTTCAAATAGATAAACAAATAGAGCGTGCAAATTAGACCTTGGAGGATTTGCTATAGATATTTGTAATAATTCATTATAATGATACGGATGAATATTTGATGTCCTTAGAATTTGCTTACAATGATAGTATTCAAGTAAGTATTAGTCATTTTCCATTCTTCTTTAATATCAAACAACATCTGATTATGCTAATAATTTTCTATTATTTTATTCACACTAACAACCTAATAATAGAGGAGTTTATACAATGGCTTAAAATAGCCTTATAGGAAGCACAATACCATATCTTTACTATAAAAAATTGACAAAAATAATATAGAAATAACCATCAACAACAGAAGACCTTTTAAGAAGATAATCAAGTGTTACTCTCCAACACCAACTTGCCACTTGCTACATCAATCCAAATCCATAAATTGGCACATTGATAGTTTGAATCTTTTCATATTTCTACAATGATTTTTAATGTGGCATACCACCTTCAGCTTTTGCAACATATTCAGGTCTATTTGATCTTCCATGTTTTATAACTCAAAGAATTTTATACCAAGCTGAGGTTCTTTTCAGACCAATAGCAACCACTACCATTAATTATACTTAATGACCAATAAGAGTATGAAATGGACAACATTTTGGAGCATCGCTACCTTTGCCATGGCAATAGTTGTCAACAACTTTAGTACAAAGTCCTTTAGAAAGATTATCTCATTTATAATATAATGTAAAAACTTGCAGAGAACCTCACTTATTGCTAAGAAATAATTTGGAGATACCATTGAGATCAAAATGAGGATATTGTGCATTAATAGAGGAGAATTAATTATAATAAGATGTAAGTCAATAAATTAATTTATTAATTATTTTAAAATAAAATAAATAAATTTAGAGTAATTTAAACCATAATATATAGTAAATAGTATAGAAATCCTTAAATAAATAGAAAATTAGAATATTAGTTATAGAAATAGAGTCTTAGTAAGTTTTGGAGGTATTTATTTTAATTGATTTAGTATTTTATTTATTATTAAATATTGTATTGGCAAGATATGCTCTTGTGGCCACCATTGCATACACGAGTGAGCCTACTCCTACCTTGTATAAAACACTTTGCATCTCACCTTCAACTTGTGCAAACTCCTCAACTGTAAGCTTCATCAACTTCAATTTTGCCTCTAAAGGTATTCCAATGGGCTTGCACTCCTCCATGTTAAATTATTTAAATACTTCTTCAATGTACTTGATTTGGCTCATTGTAATGGTCTTGTTATGATAATCTCTTATAAATTCTTCTCCCAAGCAATAATGCAATTCTTTCAAATCACTCATCTCATATTTCTTTTCTTATTTGGCCTTCATCCAATCTATCTTTTTCATATTGTTAGCCAAGATGATCAAATCATCAATATAAAGGACTGCAATCAACAAGAACTCTCCAGATTGCATTACATACAGTGAATGATCAGCCTTACTTCTTACAAATCTTTTATTGATAAAAAAAATGCCAATTTGTTGGTACCATATCCTTGGTAATTGTTTCAATCCATATAAGCTCCCCCAGGGTTCCGTCGTAGAATACTTTTTTGTATCATTTGAATAAGCTTATCAAGTACATAAAATCAGATTGATGGGACCACACATGAATACTGCAAATCAGTTTCATTCAGTTGTTGGTTTTGTTATATAGTTTTTTTTTTTTTTTTTTTTTTTTTTTTCTCTACTGTAGAAGAATCATAATCAAAACAAATCTCCTTTCTTACCTCTTTGCATTAGGGTGCCAGAATTGCAATTTGAGTATTGATAGTAAATCCCATTCATAGAAAATTCTTGTGTCATTTTTTACCCCCACAAAGTTTTTTTTTCATAAACCTATGTCCAAAATGACGATCCAGTACATTTGACTTCTAAAAGTATTATATATATCATTCACCTAGTCTCTCATCATCCCACACTAGTTTTATATGGTTCCAATATCACTCTCCATGATTTGAGCATTTCTTCATCCCTGCTACCACTTACCCTTTTGTAGGACCCCCAATTTTCTTATATTTTTCTTGGATGAGAGCCCTTTTTTACCAAAATTTATTGCTCTGTGATATGAGCATCTCCTGAATGGGACAAATCATTGTGAGGCAATATTGTTGGACAAATTATTTGTAAAACTATTATAAAATGCAAGGATTTTAAGTAGAGGGCAAATAATTCTGTTATGAATCTATAATGAATGTGTGGCAAATCTTCACAAGTAAATAGAGCCATGTGGGCCATGATCCTTAGATATATATATATATATATATATATATATATATATACACACACATAAACTGAATGCATACAATGAATTCCATTGCTTTATTAAGTCACTTTGTTTACTGTACTTGGCCATTATTGATTTATGTAGCTACAGCCATTTGTAAGAAATTTCTTAGAGTTAGACTTGGACTAGCTTCTTGCCACCTTTGCTAGTCTAAAAGAACTTGGATCATTCAAGCCTTGACCCCTTCAGAGTAACCTTAACTACTGTGTGAAGTCATGTCCTACAAGTTGAGAAAATCATTCACACAGTCTCTACCTTTCTTAGGATCAGATCCCAACTTATAAAGCTCAAGACCTAATATACTTTGGTCCATTTCCACCCCTAAATCTTAACATCAAATGTACAAAATAATAAATATTGAGTAAAAGAAAAGGATATAAATGTTTTTTAGGAAATCATGTATATCCAGTTAAGAATTGGATACCATGTATTAGCATCCAGTCCTTTTGTGTGATAGCTTCACAATCAAAGAAGTTTGGTTAGTGACACCTTGTGAGAAACTAGAATATTGAAGGCTTAGTCTAATTATTATCCAAAAAAAAAATTAATCTACTTTAATATCAATTACAACTATTACAAAAATAAAGATCTATATTCTATTCTATATGTCTCTTATTAAGTTTCATGTTGCAATTAATATTGTTAGCATTGTGATGATGTCAACAAATGTTTTAAGTAAATTGAAGCCATTTGGAGTTATTGCTTATTAATATAATTTCAAAATAATAATAGATTTTATAAAGTCACACCAGTATAAGCTATTATAATAAGTAATAGTGGTACTGTAGCAAAAGTAGGATATTCAATGGTCTTTAGGAAAATTTTAGGTACATAAAAATCTGTTGGAAAAACTTCAAGGTTTTTGATACAAGTGATTAGTCATCTATGTAATAGCATCTTGAATGCTAGTAGTTTCATAAAGCCTTACAATCACTTTGATTATATATATAATTGTAGATTGTTTCACTTAAGAAATAAAAAAGTCATTGATTCTATTGAGATTGATGTAAATTTGGTACCATTGTATCTATATAAAATATCTCACACTTATTTAAAGGCAACATATGGCTCTTTGGATGCATCAATAAGCCATTATAACAATTTCTATCATCTATTGATGCATTTTTGACTATTATAATGAAAGAAAATAAACATATAAGAAGTACCACCATCTCTTGTAGAAATTGACAACAATTGAAAATTTGAAGTAGAAGAAGTCTTGGATTTAAGACAATACTAAAATAAATTAAAATATCTTATACATTGATGTAAGTTTGATATTTATAAATATAAATAGAAGTCATCCAAGAATCTCGCAAATACATATAAGCTTATTATTTTTTTTCATTGATAACATCTATCAAAATCAAGAACCAACCTTTGACAAAAAAATGGTATGAATCAAGGACAAACAAGTTCAAAGATCAACTTGTAGAACTTCTTTTAAACATAAAGAATTAAGAATGTGTACGATAATTTGAAGAATTGATATTTTTAAAATTATCAAATAAAAAATTAAGGTTGTCTTAGTTTAGATATTATCAAAAGATCATTAAAAGAAATATGTCTCTCTTTGAATAGATGGTGTGAAATAATATGTTTGATACTATAATCTTAAAAGAGACACTTAATAATCATTTTGTTAAGCAATTGAGTGCTTCTTGAGAAATTTTTTACCTATTAAAATAATAATAATAATAATCTGATAGATTTATATATTCAATAAGTAAATAGAAGTACATGAAAATAAACAGAAGTAGGTAGAAACCTATTGGGAAGATAATATCTTCTTAAAGAATCTTCAAGGAAGTTTTTTTAGATATAGATTAGATATTTAGAATTTTATGAATATGCCACATGGTTATTGAAACTTGATCCATAAATTTCATACTTTTAGGAAGTCACATTGAAGCAATCTTTGATGATGAAATCAAAGATCTTGGGGTTTCTAGAAAGCTTCTATAAGACCTTCTTTGTAGCTAGTTTATATAAAGGCAAGGATGATGCCATCTTCAATCTTATTAGTATTTTTCTTGTATTTTATTTTTACTTCAAAATTGTCTAATCTGTATTTGACAAGAGTTATTCTAGAATGGATTGTGATATACAACATGATAGAGCCATGAGATAAGAATGATAAGGAAGGACTGCAATAATAGATATACTTACATGATATATGTGTAGGATGGACTGCTATATACAATGTGATATATGTGTATTATTGAATATGAATATGTGTAGCATGGATTGTCATATACAACATGATAGAGTCACGAGATAAGAATGACAAGGAAGATCACAGCACCCACTACCGAGGCTCCACATAGCCCTTCACCGTTCACAACAACGACGACGACGCACGGCACACCACCGACGGAGGAAGATTTCGTCCGTCTGTCCGTCCGTCCGTCCGTTTCCATCATCAAGTTCTCGATGGGCCTCGACCAAGCAGCGTCAGCGCCGAAACAGCTGCAGCAGCTGGCTCCATGCCACAGCTCGTCGCGACCCAGCACAGAGTACCGGACGAGAGTCGATCCAATCTAAGTGAATATCCAAGGCCACCGTGGTCGATAGATAATTCATTAAGTTGGAAACCAGCGACCCACTTCACTGAATCCGGTAACTACTCGTGTAAGTAAGTGGTCGCTGCAGGTCAAAAATATTTCCGGAACGGGTCTGGAAAGATGTTGATGCGGGCAATTTCGCGATGGCCGTGATGAACCTTGGGCACCAAACCTCGGGGGTTTCCTTCCTGTGACGGGCATATGCTTCGGACAGTGTGTGTGTCCTGTGGGTCACGACATCGAGTTCGAGGGTTTGAGCGTACTTTTAGCGATTATTGAGGAATCTTTGGCGGTGGTTGAGCGTCGGATTATCGATCGAGAGATGCTAAGTTTAGCATGTCACCACGTGTCTTTGGGATGTACGACCTGCTCCAGCCAGCTTCCGGGATCTCAACAAGTGTTTTTGGCGGATGTCCGCTGTCATGTGTGCTTCTCGCTTCATCGTCGAACCGTAACGGCAGAGAAATTTTGGAGCGCATATTGCGTATGAGGATTTGAATTCGGGCTTTGAACTTAGAGGGCGAGAATATGTGTAGTGATCTGGGAGTATCTGCTGTGTCCGAAGTGAAGATGCCGCAGCTCTTGACTTTTGATTTCTAGATCTCTGGTGCGTGACAGTTCTGTTCTAGTTGTAGACAGAAATTTTTATTTATTTTCACTGGTTTCGGAGTCCGAGCCGGGTTTGACAACAGATGCGTTGGAACTGTATGGTGAGTACCGTGCTGATTAATCTCACGAGCTGTTGTTGGTCGGGAATGGTTCTTGTCGATGGTCTTGATCCATTAGGCGTTTGTAGATGCACAAGTGTGACTTCGTTTCGCCGCTTGTGAATTTCTTTTCTATTGAATCGCTAAAGACTAGAAATTGAGGATTCGTGGGGCATTGGATCTTCAATTGATGGTGTTTATGAGGTTTGTGACCTGGGGAAACTACTCAGAGCAGTGGACCTAAGACGAAACACCTTTGGAGGAGACGTTTGCTCTTGCCTGCTTGAAGCGATGAAGCGAGGTATAGAAAATTGCTGCCGGCATTTCTTGTTGCTAAGACCGTGCTATGGCCTCGTGCTTCTTGCCGCATCAGCCATCATTGCCCTCATAGTTCTTCAACCTGAACAAGGTAAGCTTCTTTCGTTCTCTCTCCTGGACGTTGGAACTAATTCACCTTTCTTTTTCTGGGCTTCTTTTGTGAAGTAGCATCGAATTCTGTTGCTTGTCGATCGTTTCCTTTGTCGTCTACAAAGTCTTGACTTATTCGCCGGGCTGTGTTTACGTGATGATCTTAGATCCAAAATATGGGTCATTTCTAGGGTTTGATTGTGATGGCTGGATATAGTTGCTCACTGTCTTGCAATCCACTATGTCGAAGCCCGTGGCGAGAACTGATTAGGTTTGCTGAATTCAAAAAAAATCTTTACTCTATATGTGATATCGATCCTTACCTTGTCGATGCAGTTACTTTATCGACTCATTCGGGGTTCAGCCTGCCGACCAGTATGATTCCGTATCACTGGAAGTGGGAAACGAAGGAAGAGAGCGCAAGTGGTGAGATGCTCATTGAAGACATTGTCCATTTCGGCTCAGAGGTCTTGCTTTTGGTACGAGTGCCTTCAAGCTTTGGATTTCCGAACAAGGAAAGACTCCAGTGTCGATATGGCACCCACACGCACTTCGCTTACCGCCAAGCCTTGGCAGTGCACCTCGAGGATACTCGAACTGCAGTGATTTGCGGTGCACCTCCGCAGGATGTAACATGGGATGTAAGCTCGGTTCTCATCAAGATTGACAAAGATCAAGAAATTCGAAAGGGCAGTGCAAATCCAGAGTACAAGCATCCTTTACCTTGGAACTCTAGCAGTGTGGTGTACGAGGTTTTCCCAACTCACAAAGACGTGGTGGTATTTGCACATGGAGTCAACAATACGCTTGGAGTTGAGTTACCCGAGCAAGAGAGACTCAAGCAGTTCCAGTGCGTCTATGGAGGTCGTTATATAACCGCTGTCACTGCGCAAGCGAACGACGTTTTTAGATGCGACCACCCACCAGCATCGGTGATGGGCGACTTCGCCGGGAAGAAGGTATTCTTGAGGATTGGGGGGGAAATCATCCCTTCACTTGCATATTACAACCCGCTAACTCTTAAGCCGGTGGGCAGACGTGCAGTGTCTGATGCGAGTGATGAGGAGCACTTAGCGTCATTCGAAGCCACCCCAGGAAAACCTAAACTCCATCACATTTGTGCTTGCACCTTGATCTACAACGGATCTAAGTTCTTAAAGGAGTGGGTGTATTACCATAGTCATCTCGGTGTGGAGAAGTTTTATTTCTACGACAATAATAGTGAAGATAACCTAGACGAGGTCATTGCAAATTTGGCGAACTTCAATGTCACGAAGCATTCATGGCCATGGGTGAAGTCTCAGGAGGCCGGATTCTCCCATTGCAGCTTGTTGGCACAGCCTGAGTGCTCATGGATGCTGTATATCGACATAGATGAATACTTTTTCCCCAACAGCTCCTTTTTGTTGCGGGGGAACGAGACTTTTCTCCGGAAAAACGAGGGTGGTGATGTGTCGTCTATGGCAGGGTATAAACGGTCATCGCCTTCTATCCTCGCCAGATTTATCCAAGAAGCAGTCGCGTCTCGAAAGGACGTGAATGTAACAGTGGGGCAAATCGCCATTTATTGTCACAATTATGGGCCATCAGGGTTGCAGCAGTCTCCTCCTCAAGGCGTCACCCAAGGGTACACATGCCGGATTAAGAGACAAAGAAGACACAAGTCTATCGTATTGTTGAGTGTAATTGTTGAGTCATTGAGAAACCAGGTGCATCACTTCACCATGAAGTCTCCCTATGTGTTGGAGACAATACGACCCTGGGTTGCTATTATCAACCACTATAAGTTCCAGGCGTGGGACGAGTTTAAGACTAAATTCCACCGCCGTGCGGCATCGAATGTCGCTGACTGGACTGAGGACCGAAACCTTGCTTCCAATGATAGGGTTCCTGGGCTTGGAACGAAGCCCATAAAACCAGCTGACTGGGAGTTGCGGTACTGCGATGTACAAGACTACGGTCTTCGAGATTACACACGAAGGGTCTTTGGGTTCTATGGCAAAGATAAACGACTACATCTTGCGTGGGAGTAATGATCCAGGATTTCTTGAAAAATGTGGTTGTGAGACTCAACACGTATTGGCATAATCTAGCCTTGTGGTTCTTGTCTTGAGTGTCCAGGCGCGTGCCAATGCAGGAACTTCCTCGATTGATCCAGGTTTTACTTCGTTTTTTTTTTCTTCGTCTTTTCTACTTGGCATTTACTGAGAGAAGCTAGTGGTTGTGAAATTTTGCGTCCTCATTAGTCATCTAGATTGAATTCGCATGTTGTACATGTCATAAAACTAGCGTACTATGAGCTCATGTCAATGATACTGTTCTGCAGCTCGTTTCTGAGGCAATGGCAGATTCTCCAAGACCCGGGTCATTTGCAAGAGAAAATCCAATCCTCTACCCACACAGCAGCTTTTTAGTCCTTCGATCTGTTCCTCCATGAAGCCATCATTATAAGACATGCTTCGAGGCGCTGACGGCATTGATATTGGAAGCCTTCCCAAGGGTGTGTATATCATAATAATTAGTTCAGGCTGGCGTGCATCGTTATATCGGTGCTCGGATCTTCTGAAGGGTTGTACACTAGACAAAAGCAAGGTGGAGTATGATTTTTTTTGCGTCGATGTAAATCAATTGTTACTTAAGCAGATGACTTTCCTTCAGCCTCATAAGTTTTATGCGACAGGATGCCGAAGTGAGACTTGACTCATCAGGTAAGATCATGCGTCACGTATAAGACATGGAGACAGATGGTCAAAAGAGTTTTTTGTGGCGGTCGAACACGATCACTTTTATCTGCGTAATGGATTCGACACCAATGATCTAAAAGAATAAGAAAATATATGTCATTAGTTCTACTGTATACTGAATTAACATCAAAGTGCCTCCTTAGGATTTGGAAGTTTCACAAACCCCACTAATGGTTATAGATGACTAAATCACATAACATAGTGAGCCTCTGACTTGCATAAACTTGAATCAGTGATAAACTTTGGTGGTCTCGTTGACTGGTCAATGGATAGGGCCAAAGGGCAACGTCCCTTGCTGGAATCTCCTGAGGCAAAGCCTTCAAAAGAAAAATTGAAATCTATTATTCCACTTAAGCACACAAATTCCACCTTTGACATGTTAGAAGAGCAACGACCATCACTTGTGAGGCAACAAGTGATGAACGAGAAGCCACTTGAACGAATAAGACAAATCGTGTATTTGGTGACGGATAGCCTCATCAACCACTATTGATGAACATCTTATCCATGCTTACTATGGCCAATAAAGAGATAGAATAAGATCCACAAATGAACAATGAATCAAAAACTAGTTGTTTCTAAAATTGTCGATGAAATGCTCGATGCTTGGCAACTGGGGAACTCTCCGCACGGTTTGGTTGCTGTAGGCGGTGTTCACGACGGTGTAAGTAGAGAAAGTCTTACACATCATTGACCTCAAAAGTGGCAACAACTGTGTTTTTGGTCACATATGTGATTGAAATATTACATCCTAGTAAATTTAACACTAAGTAAATCATAAAATATAGGCTAATGTTGATAATACTAACTATTATTAAAAAGTAATAATAAGGTTTAAATAAATTATTGCAAATTAAAAAATTATATATATAATTTATAATTGTATTAAAAAAGCATGGTTGAAGATGGTATACTTTATAATCCTATAATCTCTCAATTTATTTTAATGGATTCAAAATAGATTCTAGTAGTAGGATATTTATTTTTTTGCTCATCAATTAGAATAATATAGTTGTAGAAAAGTGAATTACATTAGAATGAAAATCTTTTTAATAAGTCTAACTCTTGTATTAGATTATGGAACAATGCCAAAGTTGAATTCTTATTACATCAAATGAAGACTTCTATTAGCATATCAAATGCTTTTATTTAGATTATTGGTGAAATTTGGTCAAAGACTACATCAAAGACTAATTATTAAATAAAATTATATGAAAAATATATTACTATATTTATACATTTATTTTTAGCTTTAATATTAATATATTGGATTTAGCAAAAGTATGTGGTTTTGTTTTTGTCTAATGGCATTCAAGGTTGTAGAATGTCTTTTACTTGAAAACAAAGTATTTTTAATTTTTAATTTTTAGATTTAATTGATTCAACATTATGTGATCGTTTATTAAATATTTCTGTTTAGTTTTTAAAATAACATAAATACAATAGAAAATAATAGAAAAATAACATTAAAAATCATTTTTTAAAAAAAAGAATTGACAACTCATGAATGACCAAAATGATGCTAGAGAAGGACGTGAGAAAGAAAATCAATCAGTTCCACCATAAATCCTAATTATGCATGCAAATGTAGATTAATAAAAAATAGAACACATTAGTCATTAAAGCCTTGTATTTTACGTATTCGCTTGTGCACACAAAGTAAGGATTCATGATGTCTTGTAATCGTTTTTTCAGTTAATCTTAAGTATGACGAATGAAATATATAGTGCCAAATTTGACTATGTCATGCCGGACTATGTCAGAATTGAAGAAGTTTCCCATGTCCATCAACAGATCGATCACACATCGCAGCGTCGGCAGCATCGAGGTTTATTGAACCGGTTCATGAGATTTCAAGGGCTCGGATGGCTCACCGCAGCCACACAATTACAACCTGGACAGCCTGCGGTGAGGACCCTGATGCACAGGCCACCTGGTTGTGAGTGCCTGTGCAGGTGGAAGACGCGCCGGGATGCTCGACATCGTAGATTCCTTCTGCGATGGAACCCCGGGGAGCGTCCATCTGTTCATTGCCACAACACGTAGCGGATCATGAGTCGAAACTGCGAGGCTTCGAATGCTATATGAAGACGCCAGCAGTTTGTCATAATCGAAGATCCTTTTGCGAATCTTGGCATCACAAAGTGTACCCCGTCGATCATCATCGTTTTTTCTCCATTTGCTTTGCGGAGGCTGCATCCGTTGCGAGCTCAGGGTGAGGAGATACGTTGCGCTCTCACTTGTTTAACTGCGTGTGGACTTGGGATGGAAGAGCTAAGGCACACAGACGCGAAGGTGTACGCTGCTACTCACCCAGGCGTGCGGGCTAGAGGACATGCTAATCGGTACTTTTGACACCTTCTCTCACTTCCACATGCGCTTCCATTCGTGCCCGTAATTGCTTGGATCTCTCACATTTACGAAGCTGTTCGTGAGCAATTCTGAATTGAAAATACTCATAGGTCAACTAGTCCCGTCCGTTTACCTACATTTGTGAGACCGTGATAGTCTTCATTGACTGGATTCGAGCTTCGTTCACAGGCTTTTTAAGTAACGAGGCATTTAACAACAATCCATGGCATTTAATGAGGTCGATTTGTTATGCAACAGATGCAATCCACGGTTGAGGTGGAAACTATGCAGGTGGAATCCGATGAACAAGTTCCGACTGGCCAAGTACAAGGCAAGGCACCCTGTGGAATTCCAGAGAACCAGAGCTCGGAGCCGGTTTGATTACGTCAATCCACTCACTTACATTCGCCGAATCCAACACAATCTCACTCACGCTGGTCGGAGACACCACTCCACCACGTATTGATTAGAGCATGTGAATTCCAAGCTATGAATGATACTCTGATTTACAACACTTCAGGAGCTGGAAGAAGAGATTCTGTAGCCTTCTGTTATTTTAGACCTGAGAGTGCTTTGAAGACCATGTCAATGTTGCGGTGTAGAGGTTGCACAGATATGTAGATATCTCGCTTTATTTTATTTTATTTTTGTGAATGAGGTATATGTATTCGGCACATAGCATTATTCTTGGCTGATCACTTTGTAAGACGAGCTGATGGGAAACAACTTATTGTAAGAAAAAAATGAAAATGACAGTTTAAGTTTTTTCTATTATTGATCTGTTTCATTCAATGTGGATTCTAATCAATTTTGCAATTCTCGAAAATAATTCCTCATTATAGAATAATCTGAAAAGTAGCATCCACCGAATGGATGTTGTGACTTCTATTCCTTCAGTTCTTACTCTACAATCTTCCCCATCAATTCTAAAGCTGGCGGCGATAAGTAGATAGGAGAAAGATTGAAAATTGAGTGAATACTTATATTTCAAGCACACAATGTCCAACGAAGTAGACACTTGAATAAGCACTCAAGGCTTTGACTTATGATTGGAACTGCAAGTGGAACAGAAGCCACGGCTCAGACTCGGCGAGCCCTGTCATTCGAGGTGCTATTGACTAGTACCCCGCCTCCTCACCTTGTTGCTTTACTAAGTGCACACTCATATTAATGACATGTTTTCAGGGCACTATATTACTATTTGAAAGGAAAACGATTTTCACCCTGGGTGATCGTGGGAGAACCCAACTAAAATTCAGTTGCCAGATTTCGTGACAAATTTTCCATGTGGAATATGAAACAAAACTACCAAATCAGTGAAGAGCTCACGATCACTGTTTCCGACAGCAACCGTCACCGTCGCGGCAGGGACACCTGAAGATTAAATCAAGAGGGACTTTACCCGTATCCTTTCTTAGGTGACTTGAACACACAACTGATTGAAGGCTCTACTACCTAATTTCAGAGCTGTCCTGTCAGTGGTTAGAAACACTAAACTGCGATAAAAGTAGATATTGACAAGCAACAAAGACTAAATCGTGACGTATATCATCAGTAGTCTTGAAACAAAAAAGTACAAGTTACAGATTATTTGTGCAAATGCTTCTCTTGGGAAGTCCCGAAAAAGAGCGTGGCTGAGATGCAGAAAATTGCGGTTTGTATTTTGAAACCTTTTGAAGGTATTGAGGAAAAGACTGTACATCAAAAGCCAACGGACTCTTGGCAAACACCTTTCCAATCAGGACATTCATTTAAGTCCTGGGGATTTCCATGAAGGACCACAGAGCTAGCTGACAATGAAAAAATGGGAACTACTACTGCCACAACAGATATGAAGATTCTATGCATGAAGAGGTTTTGTGTGGATGTAGTTCATACGCAGCGGAGTGAATGGGCTACGAGCAGCTCCGACAGCTCCCGGTGGCAAATTCATGATTACGTCTCCTGCAAGTTCATCCTGAAGCTTTTCGCTTTTCATGAAACTATTCTGTCAGTCAACAAACCACTTCTGTTAGTACATAGCAACATCGACAGACCAACCTCAAAATACCTGAATTTGGTTAGTTATCAGAAGACATGACCATATATTCAGCTTTAAGACGGGTTGGAGAGACGTCAAGAAAGGGTTTAACCAAAATCAAAGCAACTAAATTCGTAGAGTGATTCAGAACCAGAGTCATGTCGCACTTGTTCTAGAAACATATGGGGTGCACACATTTATTCATTGAGGTAATGAACGCAGTAGTAGCATGCGCTACTGGAAACAGGTGTAGGATCTTCTTGTTAATGAAAACTTAGTTTGGTCACGAACTACAGAACATAGCATCTGGAATTTGACTGCAAATAAAATTTCTTCGGAACGGAATGACTGCGAGGGGTAGAAAAGGTACTCGCGGAGAGTACACACCGAGGGGCTGGAAGCACTTGTGCCAAGCATGCAGTGTGGTTATAAGCCTTACTCCTCTAGAACCGAAGGGAGATGCTGTATATCCCAAACACGAATTGCATTTGACCTTCAGCAGCAATCGAAGTTCCCTATTCTCCTCTGATAACAAGTGTATCTGCGCGTCACAATAAGTAGATTTAGAATCGAGGTTCATTCGAGGAATGAGGGAGTCCTCTCTCTCTCTCTCTCTCACTCTCTCTCCCTCTCGCAAAGAAGAAATTTCGGTACTGTAGCATCAGTTAAGGCTTGGGCAATGCAGATGCAGGGGGCCATGCATATGAAATCTCAATTTTACCTGCTCTTGAGATTTGTCAAGATTATCTCGGCAAATTGCCACTTCCCGTCTCAATGCGTCTGCTTCCATAAGCAAAGACTTCATGCTTTTCTCGGCCAACTTTGTCCTGTGTCCAAGGTTTTAACCATCTGGTCAACAAGCAGTTATAAGAAATTGAAAAACAACTGATTCAACACAAAGTGTGTAACTAACTGCAACCAAAAGGTCAAACTGATAGGTGGGGTGCAGGTACCAGTCTAGGGCCAATAACTAATTGCCAATTCAGAGTCACTCTAGTTGACGATGCGAGCGTACCTTTCACGGCCTCCTTCACTTTCATTCCATTTCTTCAAAAGCCTGAAGATGAACAGAATATCAGTGGACGTAAAATGTGATTTTAACATTCTGGGGATGCGGATGACAAAGACTTTTACACACAAACCCAGGCATTTATGAACACTTTACTTATACCCTCAGCTGAAGATACAAAACATAACCGACAGTGGTGATCAGAATATAGGCCAACTGTGATGTTGGAAGAGCGGTAACTTGCATGCTAGGTGTTCATGGATAAGAGCGAAAGAAAAATTCGTTCATTAGGGCTAGCCAAATCTGTAACAAAGAAACAGGAATCACCTTTCCCGACTGGATCGAAACTCTCCTTGCATGCGTTTTAAGATGGCCTTGAACTGAAGGTTAAGAGTTGATATCGCTTCTTCCCGTTCCTGCTCTACTGCCCTAATCACTCCAGCTGAGATTGCAGATGTTATCATGTTGGAAACACTCATCTCATCCCTAGCATTCTCCATTTTCGTACACAGTTCCCGAATTCTATCAAGATCTACAGAAGTTTCTTCGTACCGCTGCATAACAACGTTCACGAACCAAGGGTGCAAATCAATTCAAAAAATCCACACAAAACCCGATTATGTAGGTATGACCTAAAATAAACAAATCGGGGAAGACAGCTTCTACTTGAAATGGTACAGGTTTTGAAACAGTGATTAACATGGAACTAATGAAAAATACCGGTAGTCTGGAAACAGAGCACTGATTCAAGTAGCTGCGGTCATTTGAAGCTTGAGAGATAATTGAGGAATTGTTATCACCATACCTGATTTGATTCAGAGAGCAGGATTTCCAGCCTCGAGTTCTCCTCTCTTAATAAGTCATAAGCCTTATTGTTTTCTATATCAGCACAGGACCTAACAGTCTCTGCCTCCACTTGAAGCCTGCATCTCATGAATGAAGAAAAGTTTACAAGTCCGTTGAGATCAACTTGAAAATTTCTCTCTCAAGAAAAACACACACACATATATACACACAGAGCGTGAAGTAGTATCCGACACGAGTCACGGTGGCTGACATAAAAATGCGCGACATGCTTATAGTTATATGTGCGGATAGAGTTACTTTTGAAGTTGAGATTCCAAATCTGCAATCTTCAATCTTAAGATAGCTGCATCCTCCTCATCTGCGTTCTGAAAGAAAGAACAAGGTTTTGATCAGAAACTCACAAATACATTAACAATTTAGACATAAAAATATAGTTTAGAACCCGGGAAAGTCTAACAATAAAGAAAACATTACTAGGTGAATGTTCACCGGTGGTTATACGTTCCAGACTGTATTGAAACTGCCAAAGCCCATTGCCTATCAACCTAAATGCAGTTTGCCACGCTATGCAAGTGTAACTCTTAAGGAATCATAGATGTAAAGAATCACCTCTGTTGGCAAGGGGTGCACTACTGCAGTGCAACTCCTGATATTTTGTAGTTCCTCCAACAACTCTTCCAGCCTTCGATTCGCCTCATCAGCCCTTTCTTCCGCTTGGGTTGCCCGCTCCTCAGCTTCATCAGCAACTTCCATAAACACTTCTCGGTCATTGTGATACAAATTACACTCTCTTTCTAAGCGTGCACATTCTTGTGTCAGCGCTTCGCAATCTAGAGTCAGAGATTTGCATTCTGCCGCAAGTCTCTGGGTTTCAGATATTTGTCTCTTTAATGCTTGCGCATTCAGAGCAGCTTCCTCCTGCAACATCAGAAACTCGCTTAGTCTAGAACAGTACATATAGATCCACCGCTCTCTCTGTTTCTGATCGAATATTTCGAAACCGTGCGAAAATTGCCAACATGCGATAGATGAACGGAGATGATCATCGCAAACTGCGATCGAAAAAATCAAGCAAAGTATGGAAAGTGTCGAGAAGATATTTCGTGTGTAACGGTTCCTGCAATGCTTCTCATCACTACTATATTGACTGCCATCAATTAGATATTGAACAACGCAAATGTCCGTTGAAATGAGCACAATTCATCATATCAGAGGGCAGGGAAGGATTTCAGAGATTTGAATTCTTCTAAGCGTCACATTCGGTGAGAAAGATGCCTCCTATTACACTAACGTGGACAATCGCATAAAGTGGACAAGACTATCAAAATGCGTGGGTCTTTCCCAAATAGGTTACTACTTGGAATGCAGTTCCTTTCACACAACACTTAATTAATTTATCATATCTTTCAGCATCCAGATAATGAGGTTACGTGATTGTAGGTGCCTAAAAGACACAATATACTCATACGTAAACAGTCCTGCACAATACAATATACCTAATGAAGATGAGCGACGCTCACAATAAACTCACTTGAAGAGAGAAGACTTACCCTGGATTTTGTACATCTCATATTTGCCTCCTCCAGCCGGTGTAGAAGGATGTAAACTTGTTCCTGCAATTGGCGCTGAGAATCCACAGCTTCCGCGAACTTCACCTCCCAATAATCCTGACAAGAGCAAGGCTCTAACAAGTGGCTGACTGATTCCTGAATATACTTGTCCACCTCTGCGGGTATGCACATTGCAGCGTCTCCCTCGTCCCTGTCCATATTACTATCCTATTTACGTTGTATAAAATGCTGGCCCTGGAGCTCTCAAAGAACGAAAGATTGCGAATGTTGATTCAGTGCTCCGTCTTATCCTCTCTTGATAATCTCTTCCATCCGATGCATTCGACAGCAACTTATCTTCTCCATAAGATTGCAAGATTAAGTTCGACGACAAAGGGAGAGAACGGCTTGCGCAATTTAAAAAAAAAAAAAAACAAAAAAAAAAAAAGCTAAGGCAGAGAGGCGCTAATAAAAATGGCCCCGCTAGTGCACAGTCCGCTTCAGTGCGTACCCGAACGCTTCAATTGAATCACACCATGCACCGAGTGTGCGCGAATTTTTTTGCAAAACCGCAACGCACTCGAAATCCCTTGTCTGGTAGAGCGATCAATCAATTCCTGAGAATCACACAATCCAATCGATGCTCGCACGAGTTCTCCACAAGGCGAGCGACTAGGTGAAGGGAAGGAAGTTGCCACATCCGCAGAAGGAAACAACGACAAAACCTTCGGGATAAAAATAAAGACCAATACCAGACAATCACATCATCATCATCATCATCATCCTCCTGTCCCACCTCTCCGCATCTAAAAATGACAAGCGCAGTCGCAGGACGCCGAGCTTCAGTGGGCCGATTTCCAAACGCCGCTGCTGAACCAGAAACGACGACACTAAAAGTCGATCTGCAGAGACCTCCACCACCGTTGCACAGGCCTATCAGCGCCGGGATCCAAGACTGCGTGCTCTTCGTGTTGGAAAGACTTCGCAGCAGCAACGATTGCAGCTCCTCCGCTCGTCAGTCAGAGACATCAACGACGAACGACGAGCAACACGGAGGCTTGGCGTCACGAAGCTCAAGACGGGGTTGAAGAGAGGGACTGACTGACTGACTGTTAGTGTCTTTCCAACGGTCGGATTGGATGAACAACTGTCCCATGCCAACGGAATCGTGCTTCCGTCGATTTTTATCAACGTCCTCGTTGGCTTGGGCTCTCTTTCTGGTTATTATTCATCTCTATTGTATGAGCCTAAGAGCCCACGCGGTGGTGTTGAGAGCATTAAATGTAGCCTGTGCTCTCCATAATATTTACTGTAGTTTATAGTAAATAATCACATCATTATTCTCTTGTTTTGTGTATATTTTTGTGTGTATGTATGTGAATATTACTCTGAACTACTCTTGTGTCTTTCCAAATATTCTCAAAGCGTTATCAACATGATTGCTTCTATGTACTAGTCTTGGTTCTTTAGAACTTGTGTGCATCTTGTCCTTCCACTTTTCATTGTTTTTTTCCCTACCTTGTTGTTGCTGAATCCTACTATTGTTGAATCCTGCTTCTATTGAATCTTATTGTTGGTGAACCTTGCTAATGTTCAACCTTGTTATTACTGAACCCTACTGTTATTGTACCTTGCTTATCGCTGACTGATGAACTGCTACATCTTGTTGCCATCTACTACTATTACTACAATCCATTGCAAATTCTTATTTTTTGTGAAGAAGAAAAAAAAAAAAAAAAAAAAAAAAAAAAAAAAACTCCAAATTTTTAACATGTTTGATTTCAAATTCAACTTTATCATTTTATTTGGCTTTACATTTTAAGGTTCATTTTACTCAACCTTTTCTACTTGATCTTATATTTTCTTCATAGATTTATTTATAATGAGTGCTGGAACATCCTCAACTGCTTCTATTATATTTCCAACTATCACCATTATATCTCAACATTTTCTAGCTCTTATATTTCTACCATTGACTGCTCATACAAATAACTATCTATTATGGGAAAAAATAGAAAAAACAAATTTATTTACAAAATAACTCTTAGATGTAATTTTGATGGAAAATCTCTTATTATAAGTATTTTTATTCTTCTTACTATCCATTGAAAAAGCACTTCTTTTCCTTTATCATCATCTTGTATCTGCATTGCAACATGAATATTTCAAAATGGAAGATCCAACAAAGCTTTAGGAGAATCTTAAATCTAGGTTTGATCATCAAAAGACCATTTTTCTTCTATAAGCACATCATCATTGAATACATTTACTTATCTTAGATTTTCCAAATTTAAGTACTTTCATTAGTAAAAAATATCGTATTGTCTCACAACTATAGTTGTATAGACAAAGCATCTCTAAAGAAGAAATGATTGAAAAAATTCTCTCTATATTCCATTCCGCATCTATTGTGCTTGCACAACAATATAGAAATATAAAATTTCAAAGCCTTCATAATCTCATATCCTATCTACTTCTATGGAGAAAAAAAATCAACTACTCATATATAATGTGGAAGCTTGTCCTATTGGAACTATGGTTCTAAAATCTCATCTACTTAATATTTCAAAGTCTAAAAAAAATTATATAAACATAGAAAAGGTACTCATAAATACTAGGGTAATTATAGTCATGACTATTTTTACTCATATAGAATGAATAAATATTCTACTATTAATTATAATAAAAAATCAAAATCAAAGATACGTTCTTGCCATAAATGTATGATGATTGGAAATTTAATACATGCATGTCAAACTTCAAAATACTTTAGTAAAATATTCTAAGAAAATAAAAAACTTCAAATTGAGGCTTGTGAAGCTCATACAATAGATGCATCTATAGACTCAATTAGTGTTGATGATTTAGAGGCTTATATAAATGACAAAACCTCTAATGATGAGTCAAATGATGTACTCATTGATTCTACAATAACACATATTATCTTGTAGAATAGATGTTTTCTTTTAAAAAAATCTTCAACTTGGCAAACTAAAATTTAATAACAATGGCTAGAGCAAATGTGTTTTGTTTCTAAGAAGGAACAACAATGATAAAATAGCATTCGGATTCTATCATAAACATGCAATGTTTGGACCCTTAGTACCTCAAAGTTTGATCAACTACTGAGATGTACGTGCCAATGGTTATCATCTCTTAACCTCCAATCTACATAGGCAAGAGGTTTTGGTTCTTGTACAAAATCATAATGTTATTGAAAAGTCTTTTTTGTAACAAATGATTTATACTAGATTGCAATACAACCTCCAATTATATTTAATTTTATTTCACATATCACAAAGAATCATGTTTCTTTCTAGCATAGACAATTGGGACATCTAGGATCTACATTATTTTAGAAGATAATTCTATGTATAATTGGATATAATTTAAAACCTACTAATATAGATTCTATAAAATTATGTCATACATGTGTATAAGACAAGATGATTGTTCGACTTTTAATTTGAAAACTCCCATAAGAATTACCACCAATACTTGAAAAATTATATAGTAATATATGTAGTCCTATTAATCTAATATTTAGACTATTTTATAATTTTTTGGTCCTTGTTGATGCATCAAGAAAATAATTACTATCAATCCAAAATACAATATTTGCCAATCTTATATATATGCTTATTTGTTTTTGAGTACATTTTTGTGATTATCCTATCAAAACATTATGTATAGACAATGCAAAAGAATTTGCATCAAAGTCTTTTGAAGACTATTATACTACAACAGGAATTGAATTGACGTATTGTATTTTATATGAACATGCTCAAAATGGACTTGTAGAGTCATTTATAAAGTGTATACAACTCATTATCTGGCTACTCTTTTTTCAGATAAATTTACGTACATCTATTTAAGATCATGCAGTTTTATATGCTGTAGTATTAATATTCCTCCATCTTTCTTCTCTTGAAATTATTATACCATAAGAGTTTATTTCAGATGTATTCCAAATGTATCTCACCTATGGATACTTGATTGTTGTACTTGGGTTCCAATACCAGAATGTCAATAGCATACCATTAGAGCTTATCAATGAGCATATATATTGGTTTTGATTTACAAAGTATTATTTTTATTATTGATTCATCAACTAATACATTATTATGTGCATATGTTTAAGATTTCCGTTTTGAAGAGAATGTATTTTCATATCTTTGAAGACAAATATTTAATCAATAAAGCAATATAATACTTGTATTTAAAATATAAGAAATATTTATAATGAATCTTGATTCTAGAACATCTCTAGGTGAAATTGAAGTTGCCAAGATTTTGTATCTAAAATGGATTGTAAATGAAATACCTGATGGCTTCAATGATATACCTCGAATTGCAAGAGTTTCTATTAATGAGGCTCAAAATGTACCTGTTCAAATTGTTATACCACTAATTAATATACTTTAAATTATAACATCAAAAACTAAAAGGACTCATGGATCAGATAAGCAACCATGTAAGAAGAAGGCTATAATATGTATTGATTCTATTAGTGTTTTTGTAGAAGTTCTTACTAAACCTACAGGAACATTAATTAATAATGATATGTCCATAAAAATTATATCTTCACTTCATATAATAAAAAATCTCAAAATTAGGAGAAATAAAATTAAATTGAATACAAAATTATTTGTTCTATATTGTACTATAAATGACATTTAGGATAGACCATCTATTACAATAGTTGAATCATTTGCACGCATGATTGTAAGAGATCTTTTTTTATAAGAAAGAGCATCCTAAACCTTAAACCATTGAAGAAGCAATGCATCGCTCTAATTGATTAAAATAAAAAACTATCCTTGAGAAAGAATATGCTTCTTTGTATAAGAAAAAAAAATCTTTGGTTCAATTATAGATACTTTTACATCTTGTCTTGTAAAATATAAGATGATATTAGTACGTAAGTGAGCTGCTAATGGTCAAATAATTCACTATAAAGCTTGTCTTATTGCCTAGGGATTTATCCAACAATTTAGCATTGATTATAAATCTTCATATTCTCTAATCATGGATTCAATTACATTTTGATATATTATTGGAATAGTAGTTCATGCCAACCTTGAAATACATCTCATGGATGTGGTAACTATGTATTTGTATGGTTCTCTTAATGCAAATATTTATATGAAATAAGAATTTTAAATGCACTTATTCTAAGATGATATCAAAGTATTAAATTACACAAGGCCTTATATGGTCTAAAATAATTAAAATGCATGTAATATTAATATCTCTAAGATTATCTAATTACTAATAAATTTGTAAGTAATCTATTAAACTCTTGTTTCTTTATCAAACAAGATATAACTAGTTTTGTAATTATTATTATATATGTTAATAATCTTAACCTAGTAGGTACTAAATCTGCATGTGTTGTAGCTATTAACCTACTTATTTGTGAATTTAAGATGAAAATGCTAGAAAAAATAACTTTTTGTATTGGTCTTTAAATTATACATTTCTTAGATGGTAGCATTTTTTTCTACCAACTAACATATATTAGATAAGTCTTGCAGAGATTCAATATAATTGATGCTTATCCATTGTCAATACTATGACATTGGAATGGCATCAAATATTTATTATGTCATTTAAAAGACACTTAAGACTTGGAATTATATTACATATGACTTAAAAATCTAAAATAGGTTAGATATTATAATATAAGATATAAATCTAATATTAAACAAGCTAAATATCAAACAAGCTATGTATTCTTAAGACATAGAGCTACAATATCATGGAAATCATTGAAACAAACTATAATTGCAACTTCATCCAACCATGCAAAAATTATTGCCTTACATGAAATATCTGAGGAATGTATTTGGTTGAAATGAATTGATATACTTATTCAGACAACCTAATAGACTTTCAAATAATGATTCTCCAACTATCTTATATAAAGATAATAGTGCTTGTGTTGCATAGATGCAAGTTGATTTCATTGAAGGCAACAAAACAAAGCATATTAATCCAAATTATTTTAATCATATCTATAATTTAATTACTAATCAAGCACTTAAAATCAAAAAAA